GTGGTAGGATCAAGACTGTAGGTCCTGGTGAAGTGAGAAAATTGTGAGAGTAGGGATATTAGAGGGAGTGAATTGGCCAGACACAAGGTGGTGGCTGGAGAGTAGGGTACATGACAGAGGTTATGGAGAGATCACAGCTATTAATAATAACTGGTGTGACCATATGAAAAAGGTATGAGGTAAAATGGAGAGAGATCTTGAGGAGCATGGAGGGCAGGCATTGAGAGGCCAGAGTGTTCCTAAATATTGACACTGCAGGGATTTTGACAAAGGAATGTTGGAAAGGCATCACAGGGAGGGGTAACACAAAACCTTCAAGGACTGAGGAGGGGAGGGTATACATGCAGGGGGCCGTAAATAACTGCAACAGAAAGGAGTAGTGGGTGCCATAGTCTCAGGACATGAGATTCAAATCAGGAGAGTGGTTAGCAAGGAGGCAGAGATAATGGTCTGGAAGAGACAGCAATTTAGAAGCATCTGTGAGGCACAGAGAGGCACTCCCTTGGCCCAGTGGTGTAAGGTTATATGAGAGGAAAAATCCCCACTACTTGAGAGAGCTGTCAGGATAGCAGTGTAGCAGTGTCTTCAGAGAGCGATAATTAAGTTTTTCTTAAAAAAGGTGAAGGGACTGCTCAGGTGACTGTTGTAAACAGGGAAGTAGGGGCGTGGTGGGATCTGTGGTCTCCATGGGAGAAAACAGTGGTGCAGCTGTCAGGGTTGCAGGCGGGAGGAAGGAGGTTGAGATTCTTGCCATGAACAGAGTCCATGCACCTAATGTTTCAGGCAGTCTAAACTCTAGAGGCCTGGAGAACTTTACCACTCTGGTCTTTTGATTCTAAAAAGGATGTTGACTTGTGAGAAGGTAGTTAATGGCCTGTGTTGCTTAAAGCATTTTTTATTGCTTTTGACTTTAAATTGCATTGATGCAGGACTTTTTGTCTATAACCTCAGGATTCCTCCAGTTGAAAAAGAACCAGGCTATGTACATTAGAGTGGAGTTCTAGATATGAGTTCTCTAGTGTGTAGAAATGAATTAACCAAGTGGAACTCTTTCTAGGGAAGTATGGCATTTCACAGATATAAAATGGGGAAAAGAGGGTCAGGGGAGGCTCCCTGAGAAAGTTCCTGGAACTCAGCCCAGACTCGGTGTTCAGTAAAGAACTGTCTTAGCTGGGCATGATGGTGCATGCCTATAGTCCCAGCTACTTGGGAGGTTAAGGGAGGAGGGTTGCTTGTGCCCAGGAGCTCAGGGCTGTAGTGTGCCATGATTGTGCATGAGAATGGCCACTGTACTCCAGCCTGGGTGACATAGGGAGACCCCATTTCTTTAAAAGCAAAAACGAAAACTTTTTCCTCCTTTGTTGAATGCCCTTTCCCCCCATCCCTGTGCCTATTGCTGTTTCTTTGGATGTTATTTAATTTCTCTGTGACTTAGTTTCCTGTCTGTCAAATGCACATGATCATAGTCCCTACTTCATAGGAAAGTTGTAATAATTAAATGAGATAATACATGTGTATTAGTCTGTTTTCATGCTGCTGATAAAGACATACACAAGACTGGGTAACTTATAAAGAAAAAGAGGTTTAACGGACTCACAGTTCCATGTGGCTGGGGAGGCCTCACAATCATGGCAGAAGGTGAAAAGCACGTTTTACATGGTGGCAGGCAAGAGAGAATGAGAGCCAAGTGAAAGGGGAAACCCCTTATAAAACCATCATATCTCATGAGACCTATTCACTACCACCAGAACAGTATGGAGGAAAATGCCCCCATGATTCAATTATCTCCCACTGGGTCCCTCCCACAGCATGTGGGAATTATGGGAGCTACAATTCAAGATAAGATTTGGGTGGGGACATAGCCAAACCATATCAACGTGTAAAAGTATTTAACACAGTACATGGTGCATAATATAAGTACTTCAATATGATTTGCTATTAAATGACAAGTGGTTAAGTTCTTGGTTCCCATTCAGCTCTCTTATTCTTGCCATTATGTTTCTTCTTACTTCACCCCCTTTCTCTTACATCTTCTTCTTCCCTTTCTCTCCTTCTTTTTCCACACTTCCTCCTTAACCTATTTCCTCTTTCCCTCCCCTGGCTTTGGGTGCAGTGGCATACGCACCTAGTTCAGTACTCTTTGTGGCCCCCTGAAGTAGAGAAGTCTTGGAGTAGGGGTGAGGCAACCACCAGAGGAAGGAAACTGCTGGTGGGGACAGTCTCTTGGCCACTCCATCTGAAGTCTGTAGCCACAGTGGCTGCAGAGATGAAGTGGGCCAGTGACAAGAGGCTCAGGAGCTGGGAGGCCTATGTTGCAGGGCAAGTTTGGCTACTGTATGATGTGTGGCTGGGGCACCAGACAGTAGGCAGAGCATGCTATGAAGATGAGGATCATTTGAACAGGAGGGGACTGGGCTAAATCACCGTGTGGAGGGACGAGTGAGGACATGTGCATGTCCTGCCTCGGTCCTGTTGCTGATACCACTATGACTACTCCCATTCATAAGGGTGGCTCCTCCCCACGGAGCAACTCCTATGAGTCAGACTTCTGTGGGAGGGAGCGAGTGAGCAGGGGACAGCTGAGTGTGCTGGCTAAGACTATAAATTCTAGAGCCAAACTGCTTGGATTTGAATCCTGGCTCTGTCACTGAATGAGAATGTATCCTTGAGTGAGTTATCTAACTTTTCTGTGCCCCAGTGTCCCATCTCTAAAACGGATATAATTGGAACAATACAGTTCTTATGAAGATTTGTTTAAATTAACTGTTTACAAAGTGATTTTCATAGTTCATGGCATAAAAGAAGTACCATGCTAGTTTTTGTTATATTTAAAAAAATTTTTAAATCATACAACAATCTTATAACAGAAGACTGACTTTCATTTTACTGATGCCAAAATGGAGATGGAGAGTTTAAGGGCCTTGGCCAAGGCCACGGGGCTACCGAGCAGCAGAGTCAAATCTAGAACACAGCTTTGACAGACTCCAAAGTCCTAGCTTGTAACTGCAATGCTTAACTGCCTCCCTGGACATTCAGGTGGAGACTTTGCTTTCTAGGAGCTGGGAGGCAGGGTGAGGCAGGTGGGCAATGTGAGTCAAGGTGGGTGGTCAGCAATTGGAGTCTGAGAGGTTGGCAGAAGTACTGCTTGAGGACACACCTGGGACTAGTAGCTGCATGCCCTTGGCCCAGCTCCTTGCTATGGGAGAGAGCAGCCTGGCTTCCCAGGCCTGTTTCAGGGAGAGGTCAAGTCCCTTAGGTGCATGAAGGTGCTCATTTCAGCCAGAGAGCTGAGCCTTTTTGGGACTTTTTCCTTCCTTCCCTATTTTCCAGGCGACCTCAGGGAAGTTAATAACCCTTTTGCACCTCAGTTTCCTCATCTGTCAATTAAGGGTAATACTTGACCTGGCTGCTTCCTGGGGATTTTGAGACATTGAGTAGATTGTGGATGTGAAATCATTTGAAAAGCATAAAGCAGTACCTAATTTTCAGATACTAGAGTGATCTCAGACCACATTACTGTGAGGTCCAGTGTAGGCCTCTCAGACCTCCATAGCTACCTTGTGCTGATAATGCCCAGTATCCAATCTCGTGACCTTTTCCACTGGGGTCTACAGTGGTACTTGGAATCTTACCTCCTTTTCTCAGTTTTTACATTTCCCTTGGTGAGTGTAAAGTAATAGTTGAGCAGCAGGTGGGTCCCTGGGAAATTATTTTCCGTGTGGATTTTTATTTTAAAGAGCCAGAGCCAATGTCTGTGTCCAGACTCCACAGTTGTCCCAGCTCCCATTCTGGGAGCTCTGCCATCTTTTTGGTTTCAGCCCTTGGCATAAGACAGACCTGGGCTCCTGTGCCTGGGTAGCCTGTAACTGCCTCCTCTCATTAGCACACAGTCTTGGTTATGTGCTTGCCCTGTGGGGAAAGGGAGGCATCTGATCCTTTCCCCTAGGTGCCTTTGTCTATCCTGGCATCCTTTGGGGTGTGTGTGTGTGTGTGTATGTGTGTGTGTGTACGCGTGTGTACGTGTGTGTGTGTGTATGGTAGGGATTATGTAAGCCCAAGAGGCTAGGCCTCTTGTCAGCTGCCAAAGTTCTTTTTTCCCCAGAACTGAGTTAGCCACCCAACTGTTTCCATTCTCTGCCCGCTGCGAAGCTCTACAGCAGGGCCCCTATGGCAGGTCAAAACATGCTCTGCTTTGATAATACAGAGATTCCATTTTGAGAGAGATGGGAAACAGGAGCGAGTGAGTGGGTGTGTTGGATGTAGGGAGAGTGAGGACATTCTTTTTGGTAAGCTGTGCCAAAATTGGCCCAGCAGCTTGGTCTAAACTCAAAAGTAGGGCTAATGCTGGGCTGACACCCAAATAGCCAATGGGGAAACTTTATTCTTGGATCTAGACCCTACGAGACCTAGCAATCTTTTTTTTTTTTTCCCCCATCTGGAATATGGGGATAATTCTACTCCATATGTTCTTCATGTCAAATGAGAAATAAACTTGTAAATAATCTACCATCTAGTCACCAGGAGCAGGAAGTGACATAAGGTTGTGATTCTTAAAGTACATTTTGCAGAATACAAACTGTTACTAAAAAAAGAGTCACTTGCTAAATAAGTTTGGGAAACACTGGATAAACAATGGCAAGTAGGTTTCTTGTCTATAGGGACCACTCAGGTCCTTCATATTCCAATAATACGCATGGGAAACCACCAAGGGGATATATCGTATGCCACATTTCCTAAATTTTTAACCAGACTTTCTTAGTGGAGCATTTACAAGTCCCTTCTCTATGAAAGACATCTAGGAAGATCCTGATCTAGATCAGAAGAATATTCATTTTGTTCTTTTTTTTTTTTTCTTCCTGCAATTGTATAAAGAAGTGAATTGGTGAAATGCATGGGATTGCTAAAATATGGGTCCTAAACAGCAAGGGAGGTCAACTTTGGACTCTATTGAAATGAACGCTTCCTGCTCTGAAATACTTCTCTCCCTCCTGTCCTCACAGCTCCCCTTTGAATTGGAGATTTACTACATTCAGCATGTCATGCTCTACGTGGTACCCATCTATCTGCTTTGGAAAGGAGGTAAGGCCAGCAAACCACATTCCTATGCAACCCTCACACCTAGCCTCTCCCTTCTGTTTTCGGGAGTCACAGCCTCTTGGGTGCTTCCCAGGATCTTCAGCTGCCTCTTGGCTGAGTTTCTTCAGCATGATTTATGCCGGGCACTAGGAAGTGGGGAGATGGGAATGGACGAAGCCTGCAAGGGGTCTGGGGACTTTTTAGACCCGTACTTCACTGGGTGACTATGGTGCTGCTGACTGCCTGTCACAGGGCCTGGGCTTTGTGTCTTGGTGGTGGCATTGCATTTGCATGGAGCCCCCCACACTGTCACCCTCTTGTACTTGTGCCTTCCCCCTGCCTCAGTGTGCAGTGTGGGGTAGAAGAAGAGAGTGAAACACTTGGTCCCCTCAAGAACAAAAGAAGATATGTAAGGGCCAAGAAGTCCAGGGACCAGGACAATTATGGGATTGAGGGGAGAGGCAGGTGAAAGAGCAGTGTCACCCATGTAAAAGAAACCACTGAAAACCTTCATTTGGTGAAGAGGGAGAGACCACCAACCTGGTAGAGGCAGCCTGGAAAGGAAGCTGATCTATTTGTAACCTCTCAGTGACCCTTAGATTATCCCTTCCCTCTATTGTGTAATAGACAAAAGGAAAAGGAAGTGCTTGTCCATCTAGGCTTGTTGTGAGAGCCACTCCTTCTCAGTGTTCTTTATTTCCTGAAAGTCCCTGTGACTGGAAGACGTCCTCTTTCAGTTTTAGCCCCAGCCTCTCGATCTCAGTTGCTGAGACTTTTCTGCTCCTACCTCACTCCAGGCAGCAAGGGTTTCATTTCTACCATACTGAAAGTGGCATGAGGCCACATGGGCCCTTGAGCTCACTGGAAGATGGTCTGGGAGTTCTGCTGGACGCTGCTGCTTCTTGGATTATGCGTGGATGCTCTAACTCAGGCATTCTGGCAGATCTTAAGATCTGGTGTGAGATAGCCCCAAGGACCGGTCAACCCAGGAACATATTACAAGATGGAATCTACTTATAGTCCAGAGATTTGCCTCCTGTACTTTGATTTCTATCAGTTCTCCATACTTGCCTAAATATTCTTTGAGACTGCTTTTACCCTGTGCAGCCACTTGGGGTCTCACGATGTCCAAAAACGCTTCCTTTTAATTTGCTGTAAAAGCACTATTTTCCCCACAAAGCTTTAAGGAAAGTCTGAAGTTCCAATATCCAGGAGACTTGTGCCATTTCTTAGGTCTGTCCCCTGTGGCACAGGAAACAGCCTCTTAATATTAAGTCTCAGAAATACACGTATTCTGAATAGAACCAGGCAGATAGGTGTTCCTGGGCCTCAGACCCGTGCTACTCATTGTTCCTGGCTTCTGAGGTGTATGATGGAAGTCCTAGCCAAATCTGCATGGCTGTTATTTAAACATATTTGTACTCTAAGGTCACCATAAAAATCTGTCAGGTAGCTGGGTTAGGCTGGTCTGACATGAGAAATACCAAGTAGCCGTCTTTCCTCCCTCCAAAAGAATAATCCAGGAAGCCACATCCTCAAGACTTGGCTAACTCTAAGATAATTTTATCTTCTTAGAGCAGATCCTCCCGGTAGCCCAGTTCCCTAAGTGGCAAGGGGAGAGATAGTAGGGCTGTAATGAGAGACAGTATGGTCTGTTATTGCTAATAACCCGTAGATACCCTGGCGCAGTGAGGGTTTAGCTTGCAGCACAAGTGGAGTGATCTCACCAAACTGACTTTACTCCAGACCTGAATGAGAGCATCTACCACTCCGCAGAAGTTGATGGGCCCCAGTACCTTCTATCTGGTCAACTTTGAGCTATTTTGAGGGCTCATCTCCCATCTCCCTTTCCAGCTCTTTACTGCCATCTGCTGTTCACTTGGGGGGAATTATGAGCATTGAGAGAAACATCTGGATTTCTTCAGCTTTGATCCCAAGCCTTGGACCTAGGCCTTGAAGAGGGAGAATGGATCTGAAGCAAGCTGTCAGAAGATTAGTTTTCTGTAAACCAAGAAAGCCGAGAGTTTGAGGTTTCTCTTCCCTAGAAGTCTCTTGTAATTTTGTAGAAATAAATGGCTTAGCAATTTTTACCCAATACAAAACAGCTCTCCTATAGGTATCTCCCATGCCCAGGAACCCTGTTTTCCTGAAAGGCAAGGTCCTGCTTGAGCATATAGTGCCTCTTCCTATTGTTTGGGGTGGGTGGGTAGGTGGTGCCTTGTGGGAAACCCACTCATCCCTTACTCTTGCGGACCTTATGCACTGTCACAGTACATGGAACCTCTCTCATCCACGCTGCTCTTTTCTTCCTCTGGCCTGTCCCTTCGTTTCCCTGTTTCCTTTCTTTCAGACTTGTTGCCCATGGTCCTCTGGAACTGCATTTCTTTTTTTCTGTGTTACAGTATTTTTAAATTTAATTTTTATTGGATGCTGACAAATTATGCTTTTATATATGTATAGGGTTCAAAGTAATGCTACACTATGTGTATACAATGCAGAATGATTGAATCAAGCTGATTAACAAACTATATTTCTTACAAACCACTCCCAGCCTCACCAGCAGCTCCACATGGGGCACAGAGCCTTCCTGTCTCTTGCCTGCAGCTTCTTCTAATGGAGGCTGCTCTTTCTGCCCTGCCCCATATGCTGCAGAGCCCCCTCTGTCTCTTCTAGAGCACTATCTCATCTGTATGTTAGGGGAAAAAGGCTTTCTCTTTTGCCATTCTCTCTCGTTTTTTTCATCACCACCGTCACTTGACCTCTTAGTCACTTCCCCCACATTCCTAGAAGTCGCTGGCCTGTAGCTCTCAGTATTTCCATTACAATTTGAGCCAACATCCTGAGAGACTTCTTGTAAGGACCTCCCATCCACCCCAGCTTCTCAAAGTCTGGGCTTCTTAATTGCAATGACCTCAGCATTTCCTTCCTTTCAGCCACCAGGACCTTGTTTTCCTGTAAAGCTCTGCTGTATGAGAACGTAACTGCTGTTATGTTCTTTCTTTGACCCAAATCTCCACTCCTTTCCTCTTCTTTTCTTCCTATTCAGCTTGTATCTCCATGACCTGTCATTGAAACTTTCACTAGCTCCTGAAAGCGTCTCACCTCCTTTGTCCCTTCCAACTGGGGTCAGTGTCCCATCCCTTTTCAGTGTGCCCAGTCTTGGCCTACTGGAGGAACTCTTTCAAGCCATTCTAATTAGGGCCATGAAAATGTCATGATGTCTATTATAATTGTGCTGTCAACACCATTGCTCAATTTATTTTCTGTCTATGGTCAGCTCCTCCACACATTGCCTATTGGGGGAAACCCACCCCTGATATTCAATGTGAGTCCTTTTCTATTTTCCCTAAGTGTTGGCTGGTCTGAGAAATAAAGGGAAAGAATACAAAAGAGAGAAATTTTAAAGCTGGGTGTCTGGGGGAGACATCACATGTCGACAGGTTCCGTGATGCCCCCTGAGCCTTAAAACCAGCAAATTTTTATTAGCAATTTTCAAAGGGGAGGGAGTGCACGAATAGGGTGTGGGTTACAGAGATCACATGCTTCAAGGATGACAAAAGATCACAAGGCAGAAGGTCAGGACGAAACTAGAATCACTAATGAACTTCCATGTCCTGCAGTGTACACATTCTCAGGGTTCAAGAGCAGAGAACCGGTCTGACTAGAATTCACCAGGCTGGAATTGCCTAATCCTAGCAAGCCTGGGGGTGCTACAGGAGACTAGGGCGTGTTTCATCCCTATCTACATCTGCATAAGGCAGACACCCCCAGAACGACCATTTCAGAGGTGTCGTCTGGGAATGCATTCTTTTCCCAGGACTGTTAATTATTAATATTCCTTACTGGGGAAAGAATTCAGCGATACTTCTCTAACCCATTTTTGGTAATAAGAGAAATATGGCTCTGTCCTGCCCAGCCCACAGGCAGCTAGACTTTAAGGTTATCTCCCTTGTTCCCTGAAAATCGCTGTTATCCTGTTCTTAAGGTGCCCAGATTTCATATTGTTCAAATACACATGCTCTACAAACAATTTGTGCAGTTAACAAAATCATCACAGGGTCCTGAGGCAACATACATCCTCAGTTTACGAAGATGATGAGATTAAGAGATTAAAGACAGGCATAGGAAATCACAAGAGTATTCATTGGGGAAGTGATAAGTGTCCATGAAATCTTCACAATTTATGTTCTTCTGCCATGGCTTCAGCTGGTCCCTCCGTTCGGGGTCCCTGACTTCCCGCAACAATTGCCCTCACAAGTCCTGTGCTAAATCTTTACCACCCTTCTCAAACTTCCTGTCCACTCTATTCAGACCTTCTGTTCTCTCCACCCTTGGTAGATCCCCACCTCTCCCCACAAATGACTGAGAAAATTGAGGTTTTGGGATGGAAATTTCCTCAACACTTATCTCGTACCTCTACAAGCTTCTTTACCCACATACATCCCTATCTTCCTCCTCCTTATCCTGGAAGAATTGGTGTTCGTTCTGTTCTGGCCAATAATACCCCTGTGTGATTAGCTCCCACCTCTGCAGCCTCATTCTATCAATTAATCACTTATGTACCTGGATATTCTTTTTCTTTCTTTCTTTCTTTCTTTCCTTTTTTAGACAGGGTCTCCCTCTGTCACCCAGGCTGGAGTACAGTGGTGCAATCACGACTCATTGCAGCCTCAGCCTCATGGCTCACATGGTCTTCCCGCCTCAGCCTCCTAAGTAGCTGGGACTGTAGGCACATACTACCACACCCGGCTCTTTTTTTTTGTATTTTGTAGAGACAGGGTTTTGCCATGTTGCTCAGGCTGGTTTCAAACTCTTGGGCTCAAGTGATCTTCCCACTTCAGCCTCCCAAAGTGTTGGGATTACAGGCATGAGCCACTGTACCTGGCCATTACCTGAATTTCCAACCCTTTCTTCACTGCTGGCTTTTCAGCCAATACAGATGTTCAAATCTTTCCCATTCTAAGAAACTTTCTAGCAATCCCATGCAACTCTGTCTTCCCTCT